GAGATTGTCTATCTTTAGACAAAAGCCTTCCAATTTAACTGATCTTTTTGCATAACTTTTGGTTTAGTATACATGTTGAAGTGGAATTTTATGTTGTTTTTTGGCATGCATATAATTATTTATGACCACTTGCTATTTCTGATACCCATTTTACACGTTTATTGTTCTTTCTCTTTTATATAAAGGAACTATAACCCAGAAAGTTATCCAAGGACAAAAAAGATTAGAACTCTCAATTCTCAAATGGAAACCTGCAAATTACTAGGTCTTAGAGAAGCTTATCATCCTGGAATTAATAGAGACTGTTGAAAAAAATATTTTTGAAGGAGTAGGCAGTGGCTTACACATGGTAGGCAAGCAATTTACCACTGACCCCTTGCCCCAGCTCAATTATTATTTTTAAAATATTATTTTATTTCTTTAGAATAACCTTAGAAGATTTTGCATATCCTGTGTTGATCTAGTTCTTTTTACTAGAAAGTAGAGTAGGGAAGTAGGTCAATGCTGTGCTAAAAGCAAAAAGTAAGCACTCTCATTTTTTTTCCCCCAACATCATTACATTTTCATCTTGGCTCTCAGACTGATACCAACAATATCCACTGGCTTCATGCCCTATGACTTTTGTGGTCCAATTCCATATGGCATCAATCCTAGGGAAGCCTTATAGTTGGCTCCTTGCTAAGGGCAAAAGCAGAATTGGCACTCAGGATCTTGTTGGAATTTGCAGGTGAGGTTCCAGAAGAGATGTATTTGCCTGTGACCAGGGCCTGTAATGATCACAGAGTCCATGGAAAATATTACTCTAGAGAAACCCAGTTCATGGAATAGTAAGGAATAGCAACTGGCCTTTAAGTCATAGTATTCACATTCTGAAGTCATGTTTCCTTAAGGGCATGACACTGGGAAAGGCACACTACCTCTGTGACTGTTAGTTGTTTCATCTCCAAAAACAAGATGATTTCAACTGGAGCTCTAGTGATAGTGTATTCTGAGTGTTTGGCAAAGTTTTCTGGCAAAGAGAAGGCCCTCAATAAATACAATCTGAATCTGAATTTTTGTGCTATAAAAGGCACTGTACTGGGCGCTGAGGATGGCTAGGGAAAGAATGGAGTTAGTCTAATTTTCTAAGCCAGTAAAATTCTCTTAAATAGAGGTCTTATTCAGTCTTGCTGAGACTTAGGGTGACTATTCCCATAATTACTGCTCCATGAAGAGCAGCACATTGGTTCTCTGCAGCCCCTGACAAGTATTCACAAAATTTTGACTTGAAAAAAATAATTTTGGTCTTGCCTAAACATTTCTGTGCCTATGTCCCCATGAAGACAAAAGAAAAACAAAAGTCAGTGAACCTCCACTATAGATGAATATTAGCTAGGAAGTTAGGAGTCCAAGGAGGAGGAGCTTGGGTGTATTACAGTGAAAGTAACTAAACTGCATGTGTACCAGGGTGTGGGATTCAGTTATAATGGGTATAGAGTGGGATATGATGGCTTTTCTACACAAAAAACTTTTCGTTGGGAAGGTGAGGTGGTGGTTGTATTTATTAAGGGATTATTCGTCCCTTAATACATGATGCAGATCTTTGGAATATTTGCAAAATGGTAGACAGGAAAAGGTGTAGATATGGATGACAGTGCTCATCTATATGACTGTAAAATAGAGGAAAGGAATCTATGGAAAGGAAATACATTTATGTGATGATTTTTTAAAATGTGGGTTTTAAAGTAGTGATAAAAGACTCTTTAAATTCAGCACTTAACACCATCTTTTTCTCAAGAAAGAGGAAAGATACTCATGAAGATTTCTTTCAGTGCTGCCTTTTGTTTGACAGCATGATTCCAGGGACCCAGTAAGATTTGTTCTTGACTTTGTGTTTGAACTGGTTTGCCATGAACTGTCCACAGTCAACCCACGCTACACTAGATAGAATACTTGGCTACATACCAAATTAGAAATATGTTGTACTTTGAGACCAAGTGCTACAGTTTATCAGCTGGAAATCAAAGGGAAGGAACATATATTTTACATATTATCATCTGAAAAATGCTACTTTCCTGTAGGGTTATATGAGGATACACAGTGTTTAATATGCTAGTGCCTAGCACAATAGCTGGCGTATAAAAGATATGTATTATTATTACTTAGGATAAAAATTTTGAGTTTATACTGTAAAAAATGGATTAAAATAAATTTGTGGTGGTCATTTCAAATGCAACACATACAAAGAAGGTATTAATTTTGGAATTAATTACAACTTAATGTTGTGCCATGTCTTATACTAAGTATCTAAATCTGAGGTAGAGTCTAGTATTTCTCTTTTACAGATGAAGGGTCTGAGGTGTGAAGTAGCATAGTTACGACAGTGGCGCCAAGAGTCTGAGACCATGCCCTTAGCCACTACACAACACTGCCTTATGATGGTAAGAGGCCTCTGTGCACTTGTGAAGGATGGCTGATTGAGAAGAATTATAAATACAGTGCTTACCTATGAAGAGACCAAAGGTGTAAGGTTGGAGCTCCCTTCTCAACTTTCCTTTGTATTTTCTCAGAAAGTATAAAAGACCTCTGATTTATAGAAACATAGAGGGATGCTTGCTCTAGACTTCAAAGTTTCAATATTAGAACAAGTATCACTTTAAAATCCTCCGTTATAGATCACCTCAAGTTCCTGAACTACATAGTGAGTTCAAGGCCAGCCTGAACTAGATAGAAGTCCTCCATTACAATAATCGTGTTCATTACAGACAACATGCAACAGCCTTAGTTTTTGAACTTCCGTTTTCTGTTAACTGAGACCTGTGGCAATACCTTCCTCTTTGCATTCTGCTGGTTGTCAATAGCGATAACCACGAGCCTTCCTGTCCCAGAAATAAGTCTTACCACACTCTCAGTTCTCAATGTGCTAGGAACACTACAATCTGTACAGCATGAGTTTCTGCCACCTCCACCCTTCTGTAATCACAGCTCCACAGGTTAAAGTGTCTGTTGAATTCTCAAAGAATGACTGGAAAAAAAGCATAGGTGCATAAGAACAAGATAAACGATCTAGCTCTAATATAAACAAACATTGTATTATACCTAAATTGTTGAAAGAAGATTTCGTGCTCAATATTTTATTCAGCAGAACATTTTTTATAACAATAAGGTTGATTAGAGGAAGCTCTAAAAAATGCTTCAAGTTAGACAATCTGATTGTTTATCTCAAGGATAAGAAAATAAAGTGGGTGATAAAACTGGAAGGGGGTGGGGAGAAATAGCAATTGAAGCCAAGACCTAACGAAGCATATTTGACATCATTTTCCTCTGTGGATTAAATCTAATCAAGGATTTCTCCTTTTTGTATATCTTTGGTTTTTTAACCATTGATGCTTTTTGTTCATTCTTTTTTAAGGGCTCACAACTAGCCTAGACCCACAGCAGATTCAAAGTGCTCTTTTTTGTTTATTACAACCTAATTAGGAATTCTACTTAAGATCTTTGAATACCTTTTTACTATTTCCCCAAGGCTCCAGTGAAATCACACCTGCTATTTGCAGTTTAGTTTTAGTCAGTTTGTCCCCTTTGTGACCTTTTTACTTCTGGGTGAGGGGTATTCTGGACAAGACCCTTTGAGTACTGTGACTGCGAGCTTTGTGCTTGTTTAGCTGCATTCTATCTTCCCAAGCAGAGCAGCTAACCCAAGAACACAGCACTGCACTTGAGCGCTGTTCAGAGGCAGCCCTCTCACCACCAGAACTGGGTCTCCGGAGCATAGAAGGGAGGGCAGGGATAGAAAGAAAGGAGACCAGTTTGCTTTGCTATTTAGTCTGTTTAAATGGGGAGGAGCTTCAAGTAGAAAAGGGATGTCTTACATGATGGTGACCGGAATTGCAAGCTCAAGCAAGCGTTCTCTTCCAAATGGGAGTTTGGGAAACAACATTAGGAAGACAGATAAGTGAAAGCTTATGGTTTTATTCTTTCTATCAACCACAAATATTTACTGAAGCTAGGAGAAGAAAAGGTACTTTTTTTTCTTTCCCAAACGTGTGATTGTTTAGAGCTTAAGTGCAACATCTGGAAGTCAGATATACAGACAGCAATTTATGGAGTGTGAAAGATTTGAAATATTCTGTGTCCTTTAGTGGGAACTCAACTTTCTGGGGCTGCTTTTCTTTTCTTTCTTTTTCTTTTTTCAGTTTTTTTTTTTTTTTTCCCAAGCACAAAGCAGTCAATTCTGAGATCTCTTTGCCTCTCTGAATTAAACCCTTTGTGCCTGGGTCCCATAAACAATGTGCTTTTTAAAGAGCCCCCCCCCCCAGCTCTGGCCTTTTTTCCAGTGTAGGCAGCCAATCAGCTGCAGAGAGCTGCATAGCTGGAGCGCTTTCCATTCTGAGCAGCAACAACGTACTAATTTGATGCACACATGGATGCCTCGCGCACTCTGCAAATTCATCACCAGCATCTTGCATTAGTCATCTGAGGGACTGCCAAGTGTTTCATTTTCTTTCCATGTGACTTTATTATTACCACCTCTCCCCTCTCTTCCAAAAACCTCCAAAAAAGGGCGGGGAGTGTGTGTATGTTGGGGGGGGGGGTGGGATCCAGCAGCAATCCAGCCCTGCCTTTCTTTCCCAACGATAGCCAGCGCAGGGTTGATAATGCTGCCGATGCATTGATGGCAGCTTTGCAGACTGAGACCAGCACTTAACTTGCAGCTGCCTCCTGAGCCGGTTTCTGAGATGTCCACGCCCTGGGTGACAGGCAGCCCAGCTCCTGCCCTGTGCTCCAGCAGCGATGCTGAACAGCAGCATGCAGTGAAAGCCTAGCTTGCCGCTAAGGAGCAACCTAATGGTGCCTGTGCTTTGTTTTAGTTCATCAAATTTCTACGACTCATTAGGCACTTTCCCCGTGCTCCTCTCCCTCCTCCTTCCGCCTCCCCACCCCCTCACCCCTACATTTTTTTTTCTTCCTGTCCCTCACCCTGCAGCCCTAACTCTGGCTCCTGGTTCCGTTTTTGACAGTAACGGCACAGCCAACAAGATGAACGGAGCTTTGGATCACTCAGACCAACCAGACCCAGATGCCATTAAGATGTTTGTCGGACAGATCCCCCGGTCATGGTCGGAAAAGGAGCTGAAAGAACTTTTTGAGCCTTATGGAGCCGTCTACCAGATCAACGTCCTCCGGGACCGAAGTCAGAACCCTCCCCAGAGTAAAGGTACAGAGTGTGGGATGCATGGGGCAGGGGCCACTCAGATGTCCAGGTGGGCTTTGTGAGTGTTATATGCATCACTGGACTGACTAGGGCCACCCAGAGCCCTCAGCCTGCGGGAGAAAGGGAGGGCGGCAGAGAGGGAGGAGGACAGGCTGGGAGCAGCTGGTGCTGGCAGCCCTTGTGCTCTGGCTGCTCCTCCAGGCTCCTCCCTGCGCACCCGCCCGCCTGCCCGCCTGCTGGGACAGGTGGAACTGGAGAGGGCGAGAGGAGGAATGTGAGCCTCTGTCTAGGTGCCTGATGGCTCCCATGAGACCACTTTCTAAGAGTGCTGGCTCTTCTTGGGTGGGGTGGCTATTTCTCTGAGGAACAGTGTTTCTCAGCCTTGGCGTTTCAGTAAGCTAACTCTTTCTGTGCTACCTTCCCCTAATTTCTCTTGTAATCACAATGGTATTTTATTGTCTCAAAACTGTTAGTGTGGTGCCAGTGATGTGAGGAAGATAGGATTCACTTTTAGGAGGGACCTCCAATCTTGGGGTTAGGTGGGAATCATTAAGTGAAATGTGTTTTTTGGAGCCAGGGATTAGTGCCCTAGTGGCTTGAGATAGTTAGCACACCTTCAGAAATGCTTGAGGTTTACGCCCTTATCAGTGGCAAGATAAAAGTGTGTGAGCTGGTGGTTGTTACTGCCTCCATTTTAAGATGATGGGGGTGGAAGTTGAATAGAGGCCAGGAACCATTGTACCAGGTTGATGCTTCTGTGTATTTCATCCCTACTTTGGAAGCTTTGTGCAGGCTGAATTTCAAGTAGCTCCTGTGCTACAACCACTAAGTCTCTCACTATTTTAACCTTCTCACCTTAATAATTATGTTGTTTCCCTGTTGTTGATCTCTTGATCTCTCTACTCAGAGTTTCTCTGTCTTTCTATGGATCTTTTTTTTCCTCTATGCCTGGATATTTCTGTCCAATCAGTTCTTATTTTTATATTGTACATCATATAAGAAACCACATTATTTGGCTTGTATGTACACTTAAGTTGAACACATGAACATGGTACAATAATTTTCTTTGAGCCTTTTGGTTCCTGCAAGATAAAAAGATAGAACTAAGAAATCTTTAAGACTCACATCCTGTGACTCTGAGGAATGTTGAGCAATCACTTGTTCCCAATAGTTCCCAAGGTTTAATAAGGCTTACGAAGCTTTGTAAGGAATTTTAAAGCCCCTAGCAAATCTTCATTTTATAGAGATGAACACACCTTCAGATTTTGACTCAAGTTAACTATCTCAAAATATTTTGTATAATAACAAAGTTGTTTTCAAAAAGCAATAGAATTCTGTCATCACATTCTACTGATCTATAATTTGAAAAGCAAAAAATCAGGTATCAAAAATCATTAAAATAAAAAACCTCATAAATTAGAGTAATTTTGAGAGCCATTAGTGAATATTTTTAGAAGCTAGTTAGCTGCATATTTCCCAAATGGAGAAACTAGAGTTGGTTTTAATAATTTCACAGTATCCTGCTGAGAAGAATATAAAGTCTAGAACTGCTGCCGAGTCACCAAAATAAGGGCCCTCCTGCCACTTAGAATAGCACCTAAAAGAAAACTAGGCCAGGGTAGCAACAGCATTTCGTCCTTGACCACGAAAATGTGACCGAATTTTGGGTTATCAGCATTTTTCAAAATGACCTCTGACAACATAATCAGAGCTCATTTATTGTTATGATGACTAGTTACTTGCATTTTAATTTTGAATACGTATATCTTCACTTGGCCAAAAAGGTGTTTTTCATAGTCAAATAAATACTTGTGCGTGTCATTTTATCATTTTCTTTCATTTCCTGGTTGTTCACTGGAGTAACAATTACCAAGACTCCATATGAGATTGTATGTTCTATTAACTTTTGTTTACTAGGTCTTCTAACTAATTTCATGAAAATAGTATGCAGAAGCTCAAGTTCTTGGAAAGAAAGGAAGCCTGATGAGGGAACTATTTTGAGCACATGCTAAATATCATGCACTCTGTTAGGAGTTTTATGTATGATACTAAAGTTTTTACCAAAATCTAAATGTAAGTGGTATTAATCACATTTTACAGATAAGAAGAGACTCAAAAGATAAGAAATATAGCTAAATATAGTTTACCCAGCTAGTAAGCGAAAGAGTGAAATTTGAACATAGTCTCTCTGTTTTCCTGTATGTACCATTTCACCACTCATCGAGATGAGATCCAAAATCAGCTGTATCTGTTGCATTTCCAGATTCTGGTCAGAGCCCTTTTCTTTACCTGAGAGATCTCAAGTGAAAGGAAAGAATTTCACCCTTTAAAGTCAGGATGGATTTTGGTTCTCTATTTGTGTTTAGTTTTTAATTTCACGGATTTGGATTGTACATCACTCTAGCCCATGGTATCATGGAATAGGAGTTATGGTGAAATGATTTAAATCTTGCCTTTGGAAATACAGGTCAATTCCCATTACTGTGAACTCCAACTCACATCAAATATTGCTTGAAATACATGGGCTGTCAGCCAAAGCTTGAAAGGGTTTTTTTGTTATACAGACATCTCTGTTGTAAAGGTATTTGTTGTGATGGGATTTGGGCTACATAATGACATTTCTCTCAGAGGACTATAGTCTTTTAGCTGCTTATATATAAAAGCCACAACCACTACTTTCTTTACATTGATATCTATATGTGCCATGTATTGTTTTGCTTGTTCATATGTAAAGTAGGGCACTAAATTTACATTGATTCTGTTTCTGTCAGCAGAGTACAATTATCATGTTTTCACAAGGCTGATGTCAGAGCCTTAGAAACTAGAATTATTGGAGGCTATGTCTAAATGTGGTTTAAATTATCTAAGTAAGGCTGTTAAAGTGGCCTTGATTCATTGCCTTCTTAACCTTCATGGTTCCAAGAAAAGAGAGAAAGTTAGGCCATTACTTAATCCCAGTGAATTAGATCTTTTCTTTGCATTTTATATTCTATTTAATCATGAGGCATAAAAACATTATCCTGGTTTCATCTTTTAAGAGTTAGAGTCTAAGCTGTTTCTTCTCCCTGTAGAGGTATGTATTGACCAAATGGGGTCAGTGAGTAGGGAATATAGGTAGGTAAACTGCCCTGTCTGCTTGGACTTATAGGGAACATGTTTTATTCAGAGGCTCTCTGTTGATCTATAAGTGGTAAGATACTCCACATAGGAGGTAGGAACATAGCTTTAGAAATCCAACAACCCTAAATTAAATTTCTGGCTCTGCCACATTGTAGGTATTGGCCTTGGGCACATTACTTAATCATATCTGAAAGTAGAGATGTTCCTTATAGTGTTGCTGAGGTCATGAAGCTACACATTTTGCAAAGATCTGGAATATGGAAGGAGTTTGTTACTATGGAGATTATTATTACAGTTATTATTATCACCATCATCACTGTCTCCAAGAATTTATAATCTGATAAAAATAATAAGGTAAGGTCATAGTAACTATATTATTAAAAAATGATAAGCTTAAGAAAGAAGCAGATAAGCACATGGAAACTATGGAAGTTTAGAGAAGTATTAAACCTGCAGCTAATGAGAGAGAGAAAATCATGGCATCTTTACCAAATCCTGCAAACAATAATAGGACTCCAATAAGTAAAGACTCTGTTAAACGTTATGGCTGGCCTGATACAGGCAAACTGGCTAGAAAGTACAAGATGTATTCTGAGAACTGTGAATTCTCCCAGAGTTCAGAAATATATGAATGAAATGAAAGAAAGAAAACTTATAGGCCAGAGCCAGTTTTTCTTTCTTAGGATAACAAATTTGATTTTTTGTTGTTGGTGGTGTTGTTAGACAATCAAAGGTTTATGTAGGCAACTTTAACAAAAAGAAGCTAGGAAACTTGTGCAATGTGTTGACTTGTGTTGAGTGAAGATGTTGTCTGACTTAGAAATGGAAAGGAAGGAACTGAGTGATCCTGATATAACATTTGTAAAAGGAAGGGAACTTAATCACTGAGTTGGGTAATGATGACAGGAAGGTTTTGACTTAACTGAAAGAAATGAAAAGGGTCAGCAATGGTAGGAAAGGAAAAGAAGAGAAATATTCAGCTCAGTTTTGATTGTGTTGAGTCTAAAGGGCCACAGAGGAGTCAAGAAGGATACAAGCCAAGAAAAAATACTGGATTTGGTGATTAGGAAAATGTGAGAATATTCATGGAGGATGGAGGATGGGGAGGAGGCAAGAAATTGCATAGGTGTATATGTGGGACTGCAAGTGTAGCCTCTTTTATAGTGGTCTAGTCATGAAGGAAGAAAGCTTAGACATGTGTTTTCGTTGTTATTATAAATACTAAAAAGGTAGAGTAAAAGAGATCATAAAAGTGTATAGATGACGTAAATTGGGGTCCTTGAAGAGAAAGAAAAAATTGAAGATCCCACATAGAAGGGTTGAAAGACACTTAGTTTGATACAGCAGGGCAGTTAGGAGGGAGTAAACGCATAAAAAATTTCAGTATGATAGAGGGATATAGGTGGTAGTTGGTAGAAATACTCTCAGTCTTTCTAGCAAATAATGTTCAAGAAGGCTGAGTGTTATTGGAAACTTTAGAAGATAGAAATAATTTCAAATGACTGCTTTGGAAGATTTGCTAGAGGAAAGTGTGGCAGGGCTATTGAAAACCAAAAAGGCCCAGGTACACTCTGTATTCAGAGCAGGCTTCAATGTTTGTAACTCACCGTCTGTGAATGACTGGTGAAATGGAGTTATAGGAACCCTGAAGTTGTAAGTGGCTGAGGCAGACAGGGAAGAAGCAAGGTAGTAATGTGTAGATTTCTAACTGGCCTAGAAAGAGGAAGAATTGAGGGGCTAGAGATCATGAGATGTGAAAATGGCAGATACTAAGCTTGTATTCAATTAAAGCCAAACGTGGAGTCTGCGGATGGAAGATGGGTTATGTGCTGTGGATCATCACTCTCTTAATATTTTAATGAACCGAAATTATAACTCAGGAT